GGCTCCCCCCTCCCCACTGAACCCAGTTCTAAACATGAACAACCTAGTGCTCCAATGGACCCCAGTTTCTCATTCCTCAGTAGTGCTCACATGGAACCCAGTTTCTCCCTTCCCACTGAGAAATCCGGTTCTAAACCTGAACAACCTAGTGGTCCGATGGAATCCAGTTTCTCATTCCCTACTAGTGCTCCCATGGCACCCAGTTCCTTCCTCCCCACTGAGAAACCCAGTTCTAAACCTGAACAACCTAGTGCTCACATGGAACCCAGTTTCTCATTCCCCACTAGTGCTCCCATTGAACCCAGTTCCTCCCTCCCCACTGAGAAACCCAGTTCTAAACCTGAACGACCTACTGCTCAGATGGAACCCATTTTCTCATTCCCTACTAGTGCTCCCATGGCACCTAGTTCCTTTCTCCCCACTGAGAAACCCAGTTCTAAACCTGAACAACCTAGTGCTCACATGGAACCCAGTTTCTCATTCCCCACTAGTGCTCCCATTGAACCCAGTTCCTCCCTCCCCACTGAGAAACCCAGTTCTAAACCTGAACGACCTAGTGCTCCGATGGAACCCAGTTTCTCATTCCCTACTAGTGCTCCCATGGCACCCAGTTCCTTCCTCCCTACTGAGAAACCCAGTTCTAAACCTGAACGACCTAGTGCTCCGATGGAACCCAGTTTCTCATTCCCTACTAGTGCTCCCATGGCACCCAGTTCCTTCCTCCCTACTGAGAAACCCAGTTCTAAACCTGAACAATCTAGTGCTCCCATGGAACACAGTTCCTCCCTCCCCACTGAGAAACCCAGTTCTAAACCTGAACAACCTAGTGCTCCAATGCAACCCAGTTCCTCTTTCCCCACTGAGAAGTTTAGCTTTCTCCCCACTGAGAAACCCAATTCTACAGCCAAAACAACCTAGTGCTCATTTGTAGCCAGGTTTTCCTATACCATCTTAGAAGTCCAGTATTAAATCTGCTAAACTTGGCATTGTAATCGAATCCATTTCATCCCTCCCATCCAAGATGTTTAGCTCTCTTCCCTCTGAGAAACTGTTATAAACCTGAGAAAGCTAGTGATGCTATACAATCCAGTTATTCCGCCTCTCGTTAGAAGTCCAGCATTAAACCGGTCAAAACAAATGTTTAAATGTCTGTCTCTTCCCTCTAAGAACTTGACTTCTAAATGTAAAATACTCTGTTCCCTGACTAGTTCTTTTAACCCTTTGAAAATTCTAGTTTGTATCTGGAATCCAGTTTTCCCCCTGTTCACACAAGTGTTGATTCTGGAAGAACAAACCACTCATGTGTTCGTAATTAAATTTGTGTTTTTGTGTGTGGCCATACAAAATATCAGATTGTTTTGGAATGCTTTGCTTTGTGACTTTTTCTGTGTTAAGGATAGTTATTGGCTGGTCCTTTTGTGAGTGAAAGGCCTGTCTTAAAGTGTGTTTAACACGTTTGTTTCAGAGCAAAACCAATCCAACTCGCTTCAGATTGTGTTTTTGTGTGTGGCCATACAAAATATCAGATTGTTTTGGAATGCTTTGCTTTGTGACTTTTTCTGTGTTAAGGATAGTTATTGGCTGGTCCTTTTGTGAGTGAAAGGCCTGTCTTAAAGTGTGTTTAACAAATGTTTGTTTCAGAGCAAAACCAATGCAACTCGCTTCAGATTGGTTTCAGTGACCTTCTGTCTATTCAGGGCTTCATTTAACTCTGAGTACATGCATATAAATGTGACATTTACAGCAAACAGTCAATTATGCAAGACACGGTGAGTGCATGGATCACTTCCAATGGAAATTAAAAAAAATATTAATTAAAATACATTTATTCGGCAAGAAGAAATACTGATTTTGCCAGGAAAAGAAATTCAGTACATACTCTTAAAGTTTGTTTTAAACCGTATGAGACAACCAAAGACAAATTTATAGCACCTAGACTCCCCCTTAACACACTTTACATGCCCGTTTGTGCACTGATAGATATTAAAATGCTATGGTAAACTTCATATGACTTTCAAAATACAATAAAAACAAATAAGATTACAAATTAATCAAGAACGTTCTTAAATTGTTGGGAGGAATTGTTAAAAACAGACTGAGGACACCCTTTGAAAAACAAACTTGTAACATAACACTTGTCCATATTAGTTATTTAGACTCATTTTATGTCTAAGTCTTTCAAAACTAAAAATCACAAGTGGTAAACAGTGATGCGAAATCCATCAGTGCATGAATTAAGGCCATGTCCACACGTACACGGGTATTTTTGTAAACTGAGTTTTTCCTCCTTCCGTTTTAAAAAAAAGCTCCGTCCACGTGCAAACGCATACTATGAAGCACTGTCAAACCAACAGGTGATATAATCTCAACTGTAAAGCCATGTTGGCCAATCAGAAGCCTGAAAAAGTTTCCAGTAGGCGGTGATAACAGCGCAGGCTCCGATGTCACAAGCCAAAAACTCCAGTTTCGCTGTCTACACGATACTCTGCAACCGGAGTTTTTGAAAATCTTCACCCTGGCAGGCGTTTTCAAAAATGTTCGGTTTCAGTGACCTGGGGTGTATTCCAGAAAGCACGGTTAACTTACCGTCAGCTAAACCATGAACTTTCAGTTGATTAACCCCAAACCTTGCTTACTCGAGGTATGTGGTTCCAAAAACGCATCCGGGAGTAAGTTCATTCAACTCAGAGTATGTTCCTGGTTAAGACTCAAGACATTCTCAACAGAGCGACGAATCGACGAGTCGCTATGGAAACAGACGCTAAGAAAAAGCGCGCCATGCTGTTTCTTTCTTCTTCTTTTGTTCAATGGTCGTTTACATGCTTAGTGCATATCGCCACCTAATTGATGGTTGTGCAATCATTTTTTTTTTTTTTCCGTTTTGTCTTTAATCCTTGAGAATATGAATTATATTGTTTGTTTGATGCTAATTATATATTAAGTCATATCAGATATGTATTTTGATTTAGAATTTAGACATTATAGAAAATGCCGATCCATGTGTTAGATGATAATATAAAATGTATGTCAGAATGTCAGAAGTCAGAAAGAGCTTTATTGCCAAGTATGTTTGCACATACAAGGAATTTGTTTTAGTGTCACAAACTTCCAGTACACAGAGACAACAACAACACACAGATAATTAAAAAAAAAGATGTGAATAAAATACACATACATAAATATAAATAAACCACAAAAAAAGAATAAATTGTATGTACAGGTGAGCTATAGATCGAATAGGAATAGAATGAAATAAAACAAAATAAAACATAAGTTGTAGGGGTGTACTAGGATTTAGGGTAATAAATATGTATAGGGTTATTGCACATACTTTTATTGCAAAATGGGAGAACATTAACTGTTCATGAGGTAGATTGCCTGGGGAAAGAAACTGTTCTTGTGCCTGGCTGTCCTGGTATTCGGTGCTCTGTAACGCCG